ACTTGTTTACATTGCTATTTCCTTTTCACACATATCTTTCTCTTTATCTTAACATCTAAACCTTCTTTTTCTACCAGATAACAACATATTTATCATGAATGTTTATCTGCAAATAAATGTATACATCTGTGTGCATTGTTCAGTGATCTGTTTTTAAAACTTTATATAAAATAACATTTTTTTCTAATTTAACTGACAAATTGAATTAAATTGTAAAAATTTAATTTTTGTAAAACATATAATGTCAAAAGTAGTATTCAAAGTAGAACTGGCTGTGTTCAAATCCTGACTTAGTCTGTTTTGTTCACTTTTGCAGTAATTAACTGGAAATTGGAAATAGTCGAATAGACTCTAAATTACAAACCATGGACAACACAAAAATGTATAGGAAAGAAATGCTATTTCCAACACTATTACATATCCACATAGATACCATATTAAAACATGGCCAAACTTTATTTTCTATTCACTAACAGACAATATTACACACATGCCAAAATGATTTCACAATACAACACACACAGTTTAAATCAAAATATCTAAAGAATAATTATAATGGGATATGTGATTCATGCTAGGAAATATTAGACATCTGAATTTAATTTAATGCTCATCAGAAACCTTGATCTAAAATGAGTTGATATGTGGTGACCCCAACATTTACTGGATTCACCTAAAGAAATTTCAAAGTAAGTTTTGTATTTGTGTCACATCAGAAAGTCAAAAGTCCTAAGAGCCCCAAAGGTTGGTCTATAGAAGGTGACCGCAAATCCATCAAGTGCGGAATTGAGCCTAGGCGAGTGTTGATTGTTGCACCAACCAAAAGCAAGGAAATAAAACCACCTGAACTTTGGTTATACATGCACAAGATAGTTGAATAACAGTCAGTTATTCAAATGTTTGATATATAAAGGAAGTATATAGAATCCCTGACATCCTCACAAGTACAAGAATGAACATTTGTAGAATGGCACAAAAGCTTTGATTTGGCCAACATTAATTTGATGGGAGTCCAGTAATGAATCCTAAACCTCTAGAGGAACTCATATATACAATCTATTGCTAAAGATGCTGAAAAAAGGTTCGTTCCTTGTACCACTCCAGTAAGTACTTGACACCCCTGCTATAATTTTTTACAAGAACCAGATCAGGCCAAAAATGGAGTATTGTTTCCATATCTGGAGCTGCCCAATCCTCGCTTGCCTGTCTTTATCAAGTTTAAAAGTGTATACATGGCCTTACAGGTAATGAATTATTTTTCATCCTGCAACACCTTTCCAATACATGAAACATCACAAGTCTCTCGCTGCTGTTACTTTCCATGGCAAATATTCTGATGAGCTACATTCCTTGGTTCCACCTGTTTGGATCTTTACAGCTGGGATTCATCATGCCATGTACATAAGGATTCTCTTCATATTCCATTATTCAGAAGTTCCACTGAGACAGCTTCTTCCCAAGAACTACTGCTTTGTGGAATATATTTCCAGAGGTTGCTTTCCCAATCACTACAATCTTAACCTCTTCAAGGGTTAATTATTATATTTCCTACATAACCTCATAAATTACACTCCTTGCCTTCTAAAAAGCTCATACAATATGACATGGTAACCCTCTACCTTGAGTAGCTCTTTGTATAAAAAATATAATACTGAAAACACAGGTATAGTTTTACATAAGAATTACTAGTGTAACAATAATTTGACCATGTATAAAGAATAAACAAATAAGCTTAAATGTCTAAGACAAATAAGAGTTAAAATAAACACATAAATAAGTAGCTTCAGATAGTAAAGGCCCCAGGTGAAAAGAGGTTATCAGTGAAAAGAAGGTTTTAGAAAAGATTTGCTCACCTGCATAGTAAAAATATAAATTCATTTACAATAGTGATAATTGGTATTGCCATTGTGACTATCCCTTCATTATATTTACTGTGACAAGAATGTCTGTGTGTTACAAAAGTAATTATCCAGGTTTTTAAAATTGTGCACAATGTTTCAGAATTTGCACTGAAATATAGTACACATAAGATCCTTAAAAGTAATCATACTTGGTGTTCAAATTATAAAAGTAATCCAAAATGCAATATCATCAGCAATGATTGATTATCCTATAGGCAAGTATAAACAGCAACCTAGAACCTCACAAACTTGATTATAATGCTGGCTAAAAAAATATGTTTTTTTTTTTAATATAGTTGTGTTGAAATAGTAATATTTCTTAAAGAATATTCTTATTGATAAAGAAAAGATAGCTATTCTAGTTTATTTAAAGAATTTGCAATAAGTTTGCTTCAAGTTATGTAAATGTCATTAAAATATATGATGAATAAAACATATTCAAGACAAGTGCTGGTGATTTAGAAGGTGGCACTGTCAGAGTGAGCATAATTCCATGGTAACAGGACAAAATCCTATTGGACAAAATCTCAACCTCTTATGTTAAAAGTGGACAAAATCCCAATCTCATAAATGAAAGTGTCATATATAAAACAAAATAAATTAAACATTGAAAATTCAAGGAACTTGTAATTCAAACTTTAATGTCAAGTTGAGATAATATGTACAATATCAAATATATGTACTTATATGTACATTTTTCAATATATACACTTATATGTACAATATCAAATATGTACACTTATATGTACAATATCCACTATATACACTTTTAGGTACAATATCTATGACTCTATTTAATGCTGGAAGATGTTTAATGCTGAAAAATAAAGATTAAAAGATAGACTGATCAGCTATAATATTTAATGCTGGAAAATAGGGATTAGAAGATATAATGAAGGATAGACTGATCAGCTTTGATGAAGAAAATTAAAGATCTTATTTTTAAGAAGAAATTAAGATTCTTAGAGAATGAGAATTGCAAAAAGGATAATGTTTTGAGAGAGTAATGTGGCAAGTGTGAGAGTAATTAATTACAAAAGGCGCTGGAGATAGTCGGGATGGGCTGACTTAGCAGTAGAGTGGTCGAAGGACCCGGAGCTGAGAACAATAGCGTCTTAAGTTTCTAAAACAAGTTTTTAAAACAAGAAAGTGCGTAAGCCGTAATTTTACAAATAGTCAATTTTGACAATTGATGAATGAGGGTCACTAAAAAAAAAGCTGGTTATCAACACACAATAGAAAGCAGACGGGCTTTAAAGAAGTGTTGATTCATGATATGGAATGGATAGGATCAACGCAGAAACAATCTGTCATCCAGAAGTGGAAAACAAAGATATTTCGTAAACAGGCATAGAATTTAAGGAACAGCCAATCAAGAAGGGACATGTGTTAAATATCAGAATTTTGACAAGGTGAGAAAAAGACTTGCGAAGGCAAATTTCCCAATGATAAATTTAATTCTTAATTGTGACACACCGGAAAACCCTACGTAAGCAAAACGTTGAGGAGATAAAGTCTGTGATGAAGTAAATTGAGTCGCGCCAAGACGACCGAGAAGCCATTGGCCGGGTGTTAGCTATAGTGGCGGGAGCAGCTAAGACAATAGGAAAAGTGGAGAATTTATTAACGTCCTTCGAAAGGTGTTTTAGGGGAATCACCGAAACCCCAGACCACGTCTTGCCCGACGCCGATATGGGGTGAGGGCCCATATAAGCAAATGCGCAGGGCCGAGAAGTGAGAACTGCGGAGAATACTGACGAGCACTGTTAAGAGTCCGTATTGAAGACCAACCAGCTCGCTGAGACTGTCCACGTGATTCCTGCCAAGAACAAGAACGCAGACTTTGAAGGAAAACTACGCTAAGATCAAAAAGTAATCTTCACTCTTGTACTAACAAAGTTAATCCGAAAAACAGAACTCAGATAACCCCGAAAATCAGAATTACACTGACGCCAAAACAGAACGAATTTCATATTGAAAATAGAATTTCGTAATCCAGCTCTGAGAACTTGCACAAGTGTTACACTCATTTATGACGGTTTGGGACAATAATTGTTGTAAACCAAAGAACCGATATAAAAGGTGAAATTTGTTATTAATTCTGCGTCATATTTTGTTTTATTTTTCATTTTTATTGATGCGCACCTTCACCCTGTCGGATCGGCTTGGTATCAAAGATTCCGACAGCAACCGGAATTGACCGTCCTATGATTAAAAATCCACAAAATGGTATATGAAAAAGGTTGGGATTGAACAGGTTACTTCGGTAAAATACATCCTAGATGAGCCCGAGGGCTTGGGTGCTACATATTCGGATCCGACCAAAGACCTTAGAACCCAGAAGGTGGTACGTTATTGGTCCCGTGACCGAAGGCGGTCGAAGGTACCACATTATTGGTGACCGTGATCAAGGATCAGCCCGCAGAAGGTGTCACATATCCACTATATAAACTTATATATACAATATCCACTATAACCACTTATATGTACAATTTCCAATATATGCACTTATATGTACAATATCTAATATATACATTCCAATATCAAATTGAATGAATTATGATGACAACTTGATAGTAGCGGTTCAAAGAAAAGAATCCTTTGCATCAGTTGAGAGGACAGCATCACCAACAACGAGATCCTCTCTTGGACTTCTCTTCCCAGCATCGAGGCTACCATTATTCATAACCATCTCTGTCACTGCTGCAGCCCGATGGGAGGAAAGTAATAGGGAGAGAGGATGACGATCCCAATGCTTGGATGCGAGCGGCTGCCGACGGCAACTTAATTCAAATAACGAATTAAGATTAATTTCAAGTGAAAAAATTCAGTTCAAGTATTTTTTATTGATTGATTCTTACGGCTTACCAAACTTTAGCAGGTTATTTAAAGCCAGAAAATATTTTTAGATTGTAGCGCTTTTATGGAGATAATAATGATTTACTGATACAAGTCATAATTTTTAAACTAGAGAGGATTCGTATTTCTGCCAAGAGTATTTGCGCATAAGTAAATATAATGAACCCAGCTGGAACTGGAACTCGGCTCTCCGATTTCCAATTCCGAGTCGTTATTCATTACACCACCCGCACATCCATGCTTACAACATCTGGTATTCCCAAGCGGTCATCCATACTGACCAAGTTCGACGTTGCTTAACTTCAGTGATCGGACGAGAACCGGTATTTTAACGTGATAAGGCCTTTAGCCGCAGTTTAAGTATTGTCTCAAAATATCCTTTTGAAGCATACAAAATGTATGCATATGTATGTAAAGGTAGTCCTTGAAATAAGACGTGTACGAGTTATGGGACCAACATTTATGGCTATCCCAATATGTAGTCCCAGACTTATCTCGGCCTATTTTTTTTTTTTAGCGTTATCCTATTCTGTCGTCAGTTTTTATATTTGTACGTTTGATGCCATTTAAGTAGAACAAGGTATATTAGATAGATGACATGTGTTAATAAAAATTTATGTTTTATATTTATGTTTTTTTTTACCTTCTAAAGCAAAAAAAAAAAAAAACAAAAAAAAAACAAAAGAAAAAAACAATACCCACTCCAAATACTACTACTACAATTATTCACTACAGGGGTATTCGAGTTATGTCAGGACCGACTCACAACGAGGTTGGTTGGAATCAAATACTGTTGTAACTCGAGAACTATATTTAGATGTGTATATGCCCTCACTTCTCCCCAATTAAATCAAAATCAGAAAGTTTCATATTTAAATATCCCTGAGGTTGGGCTGATCCTTTGTAAAATAGGAGAGTGATGTCTGAAAAGTAGGATACAAACATTTACTAATTCAAAATGTGCATCGTTTATTAGTACTACTATGATACTTTCCCATATAATCGCCGTCGAAATTGATGTACTTGTCTTATCGATGCTGAGGCACAAATAGCCTCTTCGGAGAACGTGAAATGACTGATGCCACACTTGCACCTTTGCGACAAGGCCGTCATCTGTGTGAAACCGCTTCCTGGATAAATATCGTTTGAGGAACCAAAACAGATGATAATCTGTATAAGCAAAGTTAGGACAATATGGGCGCATCCCAACCATAGCGCTGGAGACACTCCTTTGTCAGGTTGGCTGTGTGTGTGATAGCGTTCTCGCGCAGTAAGATGTCACGCTTATGGAAAAGTCCTGATCTTTTTCAACGAACAGTTTCCAGTGTTTCACGGTATCTGTTTAACCATGCCCTATGAAGTTTATGAGCAACACATCTTTTGCATTTCATTAACATACCATCAGTTTCTTCATTGACTGCTGAACTTTGAATTCCTGTGAGTTCGGTGACAATAAATGCTTCCAGATCATGGTGTCTATCTTTGACTCCGGGGTCAAAGTTTTATTACCTGTAATCATGTGCTATAAAAATCCCAATCAGCACCTCTATACAGGAAGAAAAGCTGCAAAGATATTAGTATGTGTTGGAGCTTGTGTTCTTAGGTAAGTTGCTTTGGGACCCAATGAGTAGATCACTTGTAAGGAAATGGGCGCCAACTATTAGCGCCAAAGACTAACGACTAAAACTCTTTGTATTCACAATTTCCTTTTGGCCAAAATTTTCGCTAAAAGATCAAAAGAAGTCGAAATATGACAGTTTTTACAAAACTCAGTTTAATAACGTTGAATCTGATTGGTTGATAAATCCTTTGTGTACTCCAAAATTAACTTCTGAATAAATTCGAATCTTCCTTTTCTCCATAAATACAAGTCACTAAAAGCTTTCAGCAGTGCATGATAATGACCAGTATGTCTCGGATCAGCAAAACGTCAACTATCATTGTTAAATCACGGGTTTACGATTGATGTATATTTCTTGGAAACCTCTTCACAAAAAATGATCATAATTCTCGCCACATTATCTCCACATTTTATCATTTTTCAACAACTCGTTCAGTGATATCTAGAAGCCCAATTTTAACAACAGTAGAAATATTTTCAACTTTCCCCAGAAGATAATTTTAAAGAAATTCAACCAGCAATATCTGTTGAGGAATAACAATTTTCCCGAAGATGTTTATGGAAAAACTCTGAGATACAAACAGTTGAACAAATCCATGTTACTGACCAACCCATGCACAGAAATTTGTGTAACATTCAAATATATATTTTTTTAAATATCTCTTCAACCACTAAAAGCAACTGGTGATTTTTTTTTTATAACTCTGAGAAGGTTAGGATGTTATCAGTTATGGCTGAGTTGTTTATGACAACATCCACTACTTCCATACATATAAGTATATTTAATTTGAATCTGTATGACGATGTAGACGTGTATTTGTCGTAGGTTAGTAGTGCAAATGTCGTATTTCGCCTCTTGTTATGTTATGATGCATCGGGAAATTGACAAAATCTATCGACTGATTTTGGTTGATTTTTCCATCTGTTTATAGATCTGCTTTGAAAGGGTCCGCTCTGCTTTTCATTGGCTCGCGGCTATATCCTTGTTGTGAAAGATTTCTAATTGGTTGATTGAACTACTTTTAGAAATACGGAAATATTGGTCTCCTTGTTATTATTTATTTCTTTTCTTACATCCTGGTTGTGAAAGCTTTCTAATATCTGGTCGAACTATGGTTTTGTTTGCCTGGCAATTTTTATTATCCGTCTATTTTTAGAGATGGTAAAATTTTGGTCTTCTTGCAATTTTTTTTTTTATTTCTCTGTCATCACAGTTATTCACTCTTTAACTATTCTTTAATTTGTGTTTTTGTATGTACAGAAAAATATTTTTTTTGACTTTTTACGTTGAGCACATAGATTTTATTTCTGCATTTCTTTCATTTTATGTATTTATCTTTAAATGCCTATTTTGGTTAATTCCACGATGTAAAATAAAAAAACAACTGCCTAATTTTAGTGGTAGTTGAGGTAAAGAGGCATATATATTCCCGAACGAAAAAATTGCCAATATTTTCTCCAATTTTGATAAGAGTTGTAATCATTCTTTTTGTCGCTTTAACTTCAACTACAATTCTTTGGCTGATCCACTTTACACGTATATAGTTCATAAAGAAATAAACGAAACTATTTTTCATAAATTGTGTTGTTCGAGGTGAGGGGTTAATGTTTGTTGTTAGTAAATTAACTCCCCGCTCTTTGAAAATCGTTAACGTATTAGCTAAAAGCGTTCAGAACAATAACCACTATGAACAGTTTCTACACATACTTGGTCCTCATAAGAAAATAAATGAAGGACGCCAGAAAAACTGAATAAAAAATATCTTCATATTCAAGAAAACACACAGACACACACATATATATAGTGGGGATATAGGTATCAACACTGCATGTTACGGATTAGTACTGCGATCTTCAGATTTTTCTCTGTTAGATATCGCAAATATTTAACATATATATATATATATATATATATATATATATATATATGAAATGGACTAAGTCTGACAATTATTTTAATATATTTTCAGTTTATTCATATAGATACAAATATTTCATTTATTCATATAGATACAAATATTTAAGTAAATACTCTGTTTATAATAAACAGTATCAATTACATTTACCAGCCTAAATGTCCAAGAAATTTCATAGAAAATACATGTCCTCCGACAGGAATCAAATCTGTATCCTACAGGGAACTGTCATATAGCCTGACGTGCTATACCATTTAACTACAGAGGAAAGGTCTGGTTAGCAAAGTCAAATTATTGTTTTTAAACTACAAATCCCTTTTTTATACAAGTCCCAGTAAAGACGACTAACAAGGTACCGCGATTAAGTTTTTGCTCACTTTTCTTGTGTTCGTTTTCTTTTCTGGACATAAATTGTGCAAAAAATTTCCAAACATTCTATATATCCGAGTGCTTTCGGATATCCTATTAACCATTGTCAATTATGTCCTTTGTATTTTTAACTAAATATATAGATAAACATATATAAGAATGTACACATTCAGTTAAAAAAAAAATAACAACAAAACAAAAAAAACAAAAACATGTTAAAGGATAAGCCTAATAGAATAGCCGAAAGCTTTTCGTATAGAACATCTTTTATATCCAGAAAAGAAAAAACTAAAGAAACTCAAGAAATACTAAATAAAAAGCTTAATCGCAGTATCTTGTCTGTCGTCTTCAATGAAAACACACACACACACACACACACACACACACACACATATATATATATATATATATATATATATATATATATATATATATATATATATATATATATATATATATATATATATAATTATTATAAATACCTACCTACCTACATATATACGTAATGTATGTATGTATGTAGGTAGTTATTTATCCGTGCACCCACGTCGCAATAAAATCTGACACAAGATCGGAATGTGGAATTTCGGAAACGCCATACAAAAATTGCTGAAGCCCCATCCGCACTTCACCTTTTGGGGACGCCTCAGGAAAAGTACTGCTTATGGGGTGCCCCCTGAGGCTTGAGATGATGTATGTTGTATTAGGGCCGGGGTCATTATTTAGCAGCGTGTCAAAAGGCGGTTATTGTTATAAAATAAAATTTAAAAAGCGAAAATAATAATAATAATAATAATAATAATAGCAGCAGCAACAACAACAACAACAACAACAACAATAATAATAATAATTTTACTTCTCTGACAATGACATTCTACTTTCCTTACCATTAATTCTAAATAAAATTTTAAACTTACCAAATACGGGTAGGCGGATTTTTTTCGAATCGCCAAAGGCTACCTCAACGCCTTCTGGGATGGAGTTTACTGAAAATGGTGTCTCACTTTGTCGCTTTTCTTTGGGTTTCTGGGTGTAGGTTTGGTGAAGGGCTCCCTGATTTTTTTTATGTTTTGCAGATTCTGGCGGGTCAATGTGACAAGCCGAATCTTTGTGGTGTTGGATACTACATCGAGAACCCCTAATATCGATCTCGTCTTCTTGGCTCCGTATCGATAGTGGGTGGCGAATCTGGGGTAGGTTTATTGGAGTTTTTTTGTTGGATGAAGACTCAACTGAGGGTAGAGAAGATCTCATTGAACTCGAAGTGTGGATGCTTGTTCGGTCGGATTCTTGAGATAAACATCGGGAGAGACTTAAACGTGACATTTTCTGTAGTTTAGCTTGGAACAGTTTCTTGGAAAATAAATCAAAATATTTTAGTTCAAATCAAATGTTAATTAAATCAGCCATATGTAATTTATAATTTTAAAAATATT